CGCGGCGTGACCGTTCTCAGATCAGGTTTCTCTCTGATGGAACTCATCCACTAGCGCCTCTATGTGCACGAACTATGTGCTTTAATTTACGTAGCCATGCAACAAACATTTCCAACGGGTAACACAGTCTTCTGTCCCACAGGGCCCTAAAATAATTTTTTATCAAAAATCAAGAATTAAAGAATAAAATATACTCGTTATAAAACATATAAGCTATTAGGGTCTTAAGATATTTAGTGCTTTATAAAATAATTTTCACCTAATATCATCTCCTTCTCTCATTTAGTTTCATTTCTCTGTTCTTTTGAATGTATAAAATGCATACTTTTATACAATTGCGTATATAATTAACCAAATGCGGTGATTATGTGGAACTTTGCATGGCACAATAATCGAGCACTTCATTGCAATTGCCGATGTCTAACAATCCAGGCAATGGAAGACAACCTCTCAACTCACGTAAAATCGATACCAACCTTTGCCTAATCATCTCACAATTAGAAAGGGATTTACGCCTTGAATCCGCTTTTTATAGGCTGGTGAATGTACGGCTGGTAGACATGACGAGAGAAGTGACGATTGATTTAGTCGATTGATTAAATTATATTAATTAGAGCCGAGCCATTTTTCCAAGACAAAGCGTTGTGTCTAACATTTTGAATGAAATCCCATATATACTATCGAAACATCAGATTTTTAATTATAATTTTTAATTATAATTTTTACAGCTTTCGACATCAGAAACGAAAAACTTGTCTGACGAAAAACACATGCAAGGCCGGCCTTGTATTTCCATAATCATGAAATATTGAACACTATGTAAAATAGTCTTAAATCGAATATATTTTCCAGTTTTTTTAATTAAAATATGTATACAATATGCGCTAAATTCCGTTGACTTCTTTTGACGATGTACCTTACTCCGAGCTCGGAATTTTAAGTTGATTTGCAAGTTATAATGAGACAGCTGAAACAGAAAAAAAGAAATTGCGATATGAGATTTTATTCTATTTAAACCATTCACAGTAAATTAACAATTGCACAGAAATTTTTTATTTAAATATTTCATAATTTCTGTTTATCATTTGCATTTAATAAGAGTGTCGCGGAAAGAAGTCGATTCGCGAGATAGACGTCATCGTGATATCATTGCGAATAGTTATTTAATTAATTAAGTGGATTTGCTAAATTGCTAATTGTGCACTCCTATACTAATCGTATTCCAATGTGCGACAAAGCAATGAGCAAACATTCTGCCACTTTATTAATCGTATCGTCCCTCTCCCTAAGGGCAATGTATTTTTGATCTAACAATTGTCAGACAAAAAAAATCAATATCATGGGCATATCCACATTATCCACTCTCAGACTTCTCTCTGAATCATGTACCAGCAGTCGATCGAAGAAATTACAAGGAATCGCATATCGTACAAGGGTCACTTGTGATCTCTGAAGTCTCTTCAGCATTCATTTGCCTGTTCAGAGAGCACAAGAAGATATCGACCGTAACGTTGTGCACTCTGGAGGAAGAGTATGAAATAAAATGAAACCATCCAATGAGTCGCCATTTTGTCGGTCCCATTTATCGTTTAAACGAAACAGAAATTAATATCTTTATGATTATTTTTTATTTGTCGCACGATTATTGCAAAATTATATGGATAAATTATTCGACGACTGACTCATGTAATTTTTCTCGCAGCAAATATTTCGTTCTGTTGACTTTTACGACTAAATACAACGTTTATTAACAATCATTAATGCTTCGATATTGATTCTAATTTTAGTTTTCTTTTTCTGCGTAAAAAAACGTATTCCTCCAAACGATGAAAAATACTTTCGACTCTAAATTCGAAAGTGCATCCGCAATTCGCATGACAAAAGCTGTTCGACAATATAAAACGAACCGGCAAAAGAAATTTAAATGAAACAGGAGTTATTCGTCACGCAGAATTCGACTCGCGACTGTGTCTTCTCGGAGACAAAAGGAAAGTTCCTAATAATGCTTCGCAATTCGCGTGAATGGCGCGTATACCGGTCTTGACACAGAAAAGGGGGGAAAGTGTAGAAATCATCGTGTAAAGAACAGAGACGGGAATAACGTCGCTCTACGCATTTCCTGGCCAGGACAAGACTTGGCTCTTAAGCAGACGCGACGGCACGCTGTATAAATGGCACGCGAAGTGCGTGCCGCCGTTTTAGTCCTTTTTACGAAATAGGAGGAGGATGGCGGTTGCCAAGAAAATCGGCATTGTCTGTCTGGTAACGAGAGTTCCGAAACATCCAAGTTGTCGCGTTTCGCGATGCGTTTAGTTCACGAAACTGCGCGTAGTGATAATATACAAGAGTAAATATATAATTGTTTTAAATAAAATAAAGTAACAATGTTGTGCGCCGTAAAATACATTGTAAAGTATGTGAAGTTAGATGAACAGCAAATAAAAATCATGTGATTTAACGAAAATGTATATCTCACATTGTGATGACGTATATCTTCCGTTTTGTGATAATTATATATATATAAATAATAATTATATACATTTTCGTTATAAATGAGTGATTTTACACTTATTGTTAATGTAATTTTACACACAATTTTCATGGTATACGTTTTAATATAATGCTAATCGAGATGTGAAGCTAACACCAACTACGTTTACTATATACTCATGTTAAGCACGGTTCCCCTTATCGCGAAATAAGAATCTCGAAGTAGAAGATTGGACAGTCACGAAATTTGCTATCGGTGCCGTGAACTTGGCTGTCGGCTCGTACATTTTTGCTCAGGGTGCTTAGGTGCATCGACCCTGGTCTTAAAACGAGTCTGGCGTTGTGCCGCTGTATAGCGGGAGCGGCACGATAGGAATGCCTTTCCGAAAAACAGACGCGAATACGGCTAACAGACATACCCTTGCCTGAATGTAGGTGATACACGTCTGCCTGACGAATGCCATATTGGTGACTAAGGCATCTTCGGATCCGACGAACGTACCGCATTTGTGGCACAGTTATCTGTCGGTTACGAGCGCTCCGTTTCCGAAACATCCAAATCATCAATACGATGATCATCACGCGATCGGCAACGATCTGGAGAAATTAGCATCCTCCAAAGATCTACCGATAGCGCGTCCAATGGGACTTCAATCCGCGTCGACTTCAAGCAATCACAGGCAGAAATCGCAAACGGGTCCTCAAAGGTATTAAAATTGTCATTTCGCTTTTTAAATTACGAAAATGTGTGGAAGAAGAAAAAAAGTAATGAATATATTTATACAAAAAATACTCGTCATTTATATGGATGGCACTTTGAAAATCTTGCGTAAAACTTCAACAGAATTCTTTGATTACTCTATCATCGATTTTTCTCAGCAAAAAAGTCGAAGATTATTTATCAGAAAGCTCCAATTTTCAACAATGAGTTTCTTAAGGAGAAAACCTTAAGTAAAATTTATAAATTTGAATATTGTATTGAAAAATATAACTGAAAATTATTTCGATTCTAAAACATCTATATGGACATAATTTTAAAATACATGTCGACTATTCTCATTTTGAGACGAAGACTCTTGCGGTGGTATCTCTCTCGCAAAAAAAAATGCGCATATTATACTATATCTTCTTCTTCGATACTCGAAGGTTCCCTACGGAAATTCACCAGGACGACGTTTGGCTTTCGGCGAAAGTGCCAAACGCATCTCCGTCGCCTCTGCCGCAAGCGCCGACGACGATGGCGACGACGACGATGACGACGACGACGTTATCGGGACCTCGAGGTATCCGGGAATATCAACCCCACGTACCTCGACGATTGGCGTATCAAGATGTCGATGTACTCGACAGATACCTGACGAACGAGCCGTATGACGATAAACTGCCGTATCGTGGAAAAATTGAGACAGCGTCGTATTACCGTCGAGGGCCGCAAGACATAACGGCAATCATCAAGGCTCTCGATCGCTTCCTGAGCCATACTCTAAACGACGATGGCTACAATAGCAAGGTACATCCGCCGCCCAATCCCGTTCTAGCCCTCATTCTGTCCCGATACGGGCGTTACGTGCCTGGACCGCGAAACCCTCGCGTATACGCTTATTTGGCGGCGAACAATATCCACAACCATCAACCCTTCGGCAAGTACAAATACGAGTTCGACGAGGAGCCAATTTACACGGCGAGAAGATAGCGAATGTAACAAATGTTATTAATGCACTTGAAAACATGATAATGTAAGCAAACGTATGACAATAAAATAACAATAGCTTGTACACTTTATTTGGAAAAATTCGTTCTCAGAGCATTTATTTGAGTGTCTGTCAGAAAATGTAGTAAGATGATTGACAGGCGAGCGAAATATTTCTTACATAAATTGTCGTCGTGCTCCGAGATCTTGGAATACGCTTTACGAGAATTTCTCATAGTTTGCTCGTGATGAAATATTAGATGATATATAGTCGAAGATTGCTATTGCCTTCAGGCTGTCGCACCTAATTCATAACATTCCCTTCTTCCGGCTTTATCTCGAGCCATATAAATCCGATGTTATCCCAATTCTTTCGCAGAGAAAGGCAAAGTATAATACATATATTAAGGAGGAAGAATCAATTTTAATTGCAACAGATAAACGGTTGATTATATCCGCGAAAGAAAGTTGAAAAAGGGAAATAAATAAATTAATACAACGATTCTAAATACTCGCGTCTTCTAGGCGTGGGTCGGCGTTCAGACCTTTGTTTTTCTCCTCAGTTAAGAGGAGCTCTCGCACTTATAAAAATATTCCCCGCACCTATTCCCCGTGCCGCCCACAATGTAATTTGTCTCATAGCCATTCACAAAGGCATAACGACGCCCATCAAGGCCCTCGGCCGCTTCCTGCGCGGGACCCTGAACGACCGTAGCACTTCTCTCCGCAGCGCAAACTGCGTCCCGTCGATCAATCTCACATTAAACGTTTGCTGACCGTGCTTAAACACGGATGGTACGTACCTATCGTATCCGTACATTACATTTTATTTGCTTGCGATCGGCGGAATCGATATCTTTGTGGGAATTTAAGTCCGGTCACATTTAAACCATCTGTAGGAACGATTCCACAGTTAGCGTTACAATTGTCTTCTTCGTACGGTGGCTGCGCTGTAATTAACAGCATGAATCTTTAGAAAGCGCTATTAAAGGGCTCCTTAACTCACTGTCGCGTTCTTGACGGTTAATCGATATCGCAACCGAATTTATCCTTGATATCATTCACAAATCCTATTCACAATCGGATTTTACGGCGGGTTAATTGGAGTAGTTGGAGAATCCGCTCGAGAGAAACTCCGATTAAGCAGTAAACTACTCTCGTTACACCTTTCTGTCTCACTTGCCGGTTTCAGAATAGGTGCTCCTGCGTTCGGGCTCTTCATTTATCTAATCTAAACCGCGTACCGCGGATCGTCCTTCCTCGGCGAGATAGACTCGCAATTATAAAACAATTATCGATTTATTCCTGATTCAATAACTCGTCAGGTACACGTCGGCGGTAACGAGATGATTAGTTGCAAAAGTGACTTTCACCGAAATAACGTGGAAGCGAAATTTACAAGCATATGAAGATAAATAGATGATTCCCGCGCAGAGAGATCTCAACCCGCACGTCAAATTTCACCCTTGACGCGGGCGTAACTGTGCAAACTCAGCTAAAACACACATTGCAATTAATATCCTAGACCCATTGTATATAAATATTCAAATATACATTGCGCCCGGATACGTATCTATCCGTTTCCACAAGATTATCCTATATGAATAAATTTTGAATTAGACCGTGAATATGATATACATGTACGTACAGACATACGTTAACCGGATGCATGTGAGTCTCCATTTGCATTGGCGAGTTTTAGTCAATAAATATAAATACATATATTGTATGACGCGTATTACATATTATATGTTATACATATATATATATATATATATATGTTACATGTATGTATGTGTACAGCCGCCACTATGTCTACATTTGCATTGCTGATACAGGTAATAAATTTGGATGCGGGGATACACGGGAATCGCTCAACTATAACGCGTTCGACAAGCGCTGTAAACGAACGTGTAACGAAATTACGAAATGCGTTTCGAAGAAAACATGATCCCGTGGCGGGATGGCGAAGGGAAATATCGCGAATTGATAGGCGGTGGCCAGGTTTTCGCAGATTTGTTCAATCTCGCCGTCCGAAGTGGAACTCGCCGCGAGATCATAAAACGGACGATCGTGCTCTTAAGTGACGCTTGATTGCCTCTCGTCCGCTAGAAAAGCATATTGTCGGAAAATTGTGTTTTCCGTGTCGGGGTTCGCCGTCCGTTTCTTCGAGATTTACGGCGGCGAGATCGGTGAGCCTTAATAACTTTGGCCGGATACCGGTACATACACGGCCACACGAAATTAGCCGTACACAGACTTTTCTCCGTGATACCTTTCCATTCTCTTCGAGGGTACCTTGTATCCGTATTGGATTATCCGTCCGTTATCGATTCGATACCTGCCGCAAAAGAGACCGAACGAGGTCGTCGAACCCTAAGAAGAGATATTGTTAGGGAGGGGACAGACGTGTCGCACGGAAAAATTTTATAACAAATTTTTTTTTTATGTAAACGATTTGCAACAGCGAGAGACCGAAACGCAGCCTGCCCAAGGCTCGCTTTCACCACAAACGCGTCCTTGCATTATTTAAATTTTAAATCATACAGCGACGATGAATATTTTAAGCCGAGAGTCAGCAACAAACAACAGCGGCAGACACGCGCGGGCGTACGCGCGGAATCGCAAACGAAATAAGGAGGGCTTCGTCACGTTCGCCGCGTTGAATTTCGCGTGTCTCTTTTCTTTTAATAGTCAGAACGATATCTGAGAGCAGAATGGATAAAGCGGCTCATTCATCATTCCGGAGACGGGAGACGCGCAAATTTTCTCACATTTCTTTCTCTCCCCTGTAATTCCCGCGCTCTCCGGGTTAGAACAGCTACAGGCTATATGCGTGCCCCGCCCGCAACTTCAGGGGGGAGGAGGTTCAAATCAAACCGTGATGAAAAAAGGCGACCGTGAGGTAAAAAGCAGCAGGAATAAAATATGAGAAATACGTTTCCTCGAGGCGATACGATTCATTTTACCAATCCTGTCTTGCTTTCGCGCGGCTGCGGGAAAGAAAACGAAACGAGTTGCGAGAAAAGAGAAAGAGGCTTGAGTATTAAGGCATGTAGTATTAATCCGTCACGTTAAATTCTCTTTTTGTTCTCTGAAACTTTCTCTCTTCGTAGCCTAGATCTATCTAGTTCTCTCAGCGCTACGTTAAATCACAGCCAATCGTAATACAATTAACATTTAACGTTATAATCTCTGTGGTTTCATACGGATACTTTTCAAATTGGATATTATCATGTTACTCGCGACTCGATTACATATTATGCAAAAATGATAATATAATAATCTTCCTAAGTAAAATAGAACATGCATTTTTCAACGTTATAAAGTAACATCACTGTATTTCATCGTCGAATCTCGGTCTTCCCTTATCTCGCGAACAACGATACTTTAACGGTGAACTCGTGAGCACAGGTTGTGTTTCGAGTATCACCATCGTGTTGGCGCCTTATCAAATTCTCATACGAAGCTCCGGGGAATGGCGAGGAATGACGGAGCACAAAGAGCCGAACGAGATACATTGTATGTACGTACAGCGTATCCATACGTACTACCTACTTGTTGTCAATACCGATCAATTCCGCATTGGCTTGCCTTCTCCTTCCCTTCCCCTGACTCTGTCATTGGAAGAACGGTGATTATTGAAATTTCGATCGAAAGATTTCGATGCATTCGGCGGCTTTTCGATGCCCGTGGGGAATTGACGTCCGATTTGTTTCCGAGTCGCGCATTTCATTTTTCTCGTTTTCCACGCTGTTTACCGTGTACGAATGTGATGTGACCGCATCGCGTGTCTATGTGATGCGGTGGTTCCATCAGAGCCGATTTAAGACTATCTTCATCACCGCGACCACAAAGAATCACGGACAAAGGGGAAGAGGCGGGCGCGAAGAAGTTTAACCGCTTAAAGTTTTACGGGGAATCATTTTTCCACGTGCTTCTTGTTATTCTCAGTTTATGCAAATTGTCTACCGTACAACATATTCCAAAACTTCCATCGTTCTCTTTAAGTACAAGTTTTCTGGCAAATAGAAATTCAAGTTTCCTTAACAATATCTTAATTAGATATAATTTTTACAAGTTACTTTTTCTTGCGACACTTCGAATTAAGACATCAGATAAGATACGATTCTAGAAAAGGTAATCTAAAGTATAGAAAAGTAAGTTATCTTTTCTCTATCTCTATAACCATTTATAACTCAGAGATATTTATTGTCTCGATATTTCTGTCAAAGAAAGACAAACTTTAAATTGACAGCAAATGTGATAGAAATTTGTAGATAGTCCCATAGCTCTGAGACATGGTGTCTACACAGAAATTTTTCAAGTCTTGTTCCGCAAGGGGCTTCAAAATGATCTTGATCATTTCCGATGTGTACTCGCATTTATATTAGTCTGCGCACGTTGAGAAACTGAAGTGACCAATAAATACGCGAGGAATAAAAAGTGACTCGAGTGAAACCCACGATTTTTGAACATTGATCGTCGACGCATAGGTATCTGATCGACAATTCGCATCGGCTTACTCGACGCATTGACGTGCAGCCAATCGGTGCACCGAGAATAACAGATCTGTCTAAACAGCGCGACGATGTTCGCTTTTTTCCGATGAAAAACAGCCGAAACATTCCTCGTTTTTTCCACACAGAATTTTTCGACTGTCCATTTGTCGATATTGTGGCTGTCTTTCGAACTGAAGGGCTTGAAGTGCGTTAAGTAGAGCTGTGCGAGATAGCATTCGATTCTAAAATAGCAATTGATACGTGAAATTGACGCAGGTAATCATTATTCGAGATGTTTTTTAATCGATTCAAATAATTTTGCTTTAAAATAAGTTTTGAAATTATAAAACCTTTCAATTATAACGCGTCCGTTAATACTGCAATAAAGTACGATAAAACAGATATTACATCATAATGTAATGGTACATAGTTATTGCATGCTCTGAAACGGATTCCCTCAAGCGCGAGACAATATATATATATAATTATCATTACACAAAGTATCATTAAATCGTAAATATAATGTATTGTGAACGATATAAAGTACACAAATATGACAGATGTGTACTTTATACGCAATGTGCC